AATAAAGACAAATAAAAGAAAAATGCAACAAAATAAAGGAAAAAATGAAGAACCCTATGAGAAAAGTAGTCATACAGGCAAAACTCACAGTGCCAAGAGAGTGTTCTGGCTCAAACAAGCACTTAAGAAGAACTGAGGTCAGATAGTCCTTTCATCATTGCGGTATTGACATGAAAAGGGGCAAGGAGTACAGTACCACAGGGTAATACAGAATTGTTCTCTATGCTGTAACACCACTTTTTGCCTAATTTATTTTTTACTGATATTCCCCTATCTTTAATAGACCAATGCAAACATGAGAGAGGCCTGCCTAACTCCCTACGTGCTGTAATTGATGCTCTGGATAGAATGATGCAGCCTCCTGAGGGAGACAAATAAAAGATAAATCAGCTAAGAAGCCACCTTTGATCAAATGCTCTACCTAGCAAAGCACTAACACACAAAGAATCAGGAAAACTGATCTCAGGTATTTACTGGTGTTTGTACAGCTGTTCCAGCAAAATTCTAAATATTAATTTTACCTTCTATATATCACTTCATCCATTCCAACTAGAGGAGCATATTTTTTGTCATATAATGTTAAAATCCTAAATAAACTCAGAACCTTCAGGTCTCTGAATTCAATCATAGATTTTGAAACTTTGTTTTCCCATTTTTTTCAGTTCTGACCTAAATCTCTTTCCAGCTTTATTTCTCTGCTTTCTTATAGGCCTCTCTATAACTAAATGAATCCTTTTTTGAAGGCTCTGTGCATTTAAGCCATCTCTCTATTTCAACCTTGTCTTCCAATTTTAATTCTTGACTCTATTTTCTCCCATGTTGTTCTCCCACACTTAGAGGAGTGTTCTCTCTCCTCATTGGACTTACTTGTTGGATTTTTGTCATAAATTTAATGTCAATTAGGTTTTAAAACTTCAGAATTTCCATATTCCACCCTTTCTCAAGCACTATGGATTCACTTTCCAATCCATTAACCTGTTCTGTAAACCAGGTATTATCTTAAATTTAGATTTCTGTTTGGATCTTCTTTTAGATACTCCTAAACTTGCAGATGCTTTCCACAGAACATATCTAAGACTGCTCACATATAAAAGTTTAATTTCTCATCATAATTTTCATCTTATTTCTCAATTACTGTAACACAGTTTTATAAACTCTTGACAAATATGATTTCCTAAGCAGCCACAAGATTGCTTCAAATATAATTTTCTTTTAGTCCATTACTTTGACCATGTTATTGCCCTCCTTTTCTCCCTGCGCTGGTTCTCCTGCTCCCCAGCACATCACAGGAAAGACTTAACTACTCTTCAAGGCCTTGCATGAGTTTACTGACCTATTAACTATCTTCTAATAATGGCTACTGAGATGCTGAATCTCATCTCTTTTGAGTACACAATAACTACCTCAGACAATTATTATATTTTCCACTAGTTCTCCCACATTGCCTTCTCATTTAAGGATTGTCTGCAAAGTCTCATTATTTTCTTTAATAGAGGCATTTTAATACTCATCCCCATCTGAGATGCCAAAAATTCAAAATTATTAGTGCAGAGAGACTGCTGCTCATTTAACAGGTTTTATACACTCCTATAGACTTGTCTCTTCTCCTTTGCTTATACTTCTTTACAAATTGACTAAGATTAGGACCATTTTTTTTTGTTGTTTCTGTTTAATGGCATAGTACATAGCATGAAGTATCCTCCTGGATCTTCATTACAGGAAGCTCAATATCAGTAACATAAACAAACTACCGTTAATAGATAGTTTAGGTTTGAAAGTACAATTCAATATTTGGACCTTCTCCTCCTCCTTCTTTTTCAGTTGTATCTGACAAATAGTAAATGCTTGTAATCAGATGAGCGCAGTTATTAGCAACAGCTACAAAAATTTTCTAATTTTCTGCACACTGGTCTCTATATTGAAATATCTGCACATGGGCTAATAAAGGTCTTCTCCCAGCCATCTAACTCATGCCAGTGAGCTAACTCTACTGAATGAGGACTACTCAGATTAACAAGGCTCAAAAAACGGAACCTGCAGTTCACAAAATTTAACATATTGATTTTTATGCTGAATATTCCAAATGTTAATCATACTGAGGACCTTTAAATAACACTGAACTAATGAGCTATGTTCCACTTCAAGTAACTAAAAACTTGCTTAAATAATCCTAACTACAGCCTGTATTTTATGGCTAGATTCAAATATCAAACTGAATAATTAACGATTTACTTTTTATTTAAATAACTCCTTTTTTTGACATCTTCCTGATGTCAATAAAGTATCAAATTGTTATCTAATTAGCTTTTAAATTAATAAATCAGTACATGATATCACTTTTACAACAAGTCCAATTCACCTACACTACCAGAATATAATGTGTTAATGAATAGAAGCATAGGATGTGCTAAATATCTCACATAGTAGGACTTTTTGACTGACTACAGTAAGAGCATAAAAATAACATTCTTTAAATATACTTTATTTACATTTTTATAATAATGACAGCAGTTAGCATCAAAGATATTTTTTCTCAATCCTTTCATAACTATATTTCACTTAAAGTATTATTTCTGAACCTTACAATAGAATTGAAACTGTGTAATTTACAAGTATATTTAACTGTAAGTCAACTGAATTAATTTACTAACAAACAGCTTAATAATTAAATGGCATAAATAAAAATAAAGTAACCTATTTATATGTCCTTTAAAAAGAGAAATTCTTAGAAATTATAATGGCATAGCAAATGAATATCAAAAACACTATTCATGGTGGGGTTTTTTTAATATTAATATAAAATGAAAATTTAAGTAGTTTTAATTTCCAAGTCAGACACTTAAAATTCTTTATTTTTTAAGGCATCTCAAAAATTTTTCAAAACTCCTGGCCTAAAACAGTATTTGTTTCATTGGCCTCATTATAGGCATGCTTATTTTCTAGTCAGGTCTTAACAGAAGGTCTGGTCTATTATTGGATCAATCTCTGTGCTACTCTAAGGACCAAGTTCAGCAACAAGAACATGTGTTTTCATTAACAGATTACTTCTTAACAGTTACATCTGCCTCTCTAATAAGACACGATCATCAGAAGGATGCTGAAAAGTTCAGTTTGCTTTTTTCTATGAAGCCTATCAAATGTCATCAACTTGTTTGTGTGCTCATCTCTCACTGTCAGCCAATTGGTTAATTTAATTATTTTTGTGTTTTAAGATCTAGGTCTATATTTAGAGCCTACGTGTTGCTAAGACTGGGTTCTTAAAAAGTAATTAACTAGCAGTTGCTGAAATGTACACAGGGACAGTGAGAGGATTTTTATAGGATAAGGTCCCTTACCATAACAAATTTTGTTCCTTGAATGCACTGCCCCAAAGAGCCCCCCCACTTTGGGATTATTTTCTCTACCATACCAAATGTTAAATGTTAGATGGAATCTTCACAGGTATTCCAATGGTTTGAAAGAAAATGTAGGAAAAAAATCTACTTCCAAACTCCCTAAGCATTGCCAGTTTCTACAAATATTTCAATTAAAAGAAAATCTGAAGCGTTGGTGTAAATCTGCAGAGACAACTAATTTGAGAAAAAGTTACTTTGATAAATAACCTCCTTTTTCTTTCTTATGACACTGCCTACACAGATCTAATCAGTAAAAGATCAGCAGTGGTACTTCTGACGAAAAGGGCCGAGGCAGACTGCTAGCTAAACTATTCCTGCCCAAATATTGTATTTAATATAACATAACTACTCTTGCTTGAGAATTTTAAAGTGCATTATTTACCTGATTGCCTCAATAAAAAAAAAAAAACTGTAAAATACCTCTAGATTAAAACCATCAGGTTATTAGTTTTTAAACAAAACCTAAAAGGGCTTTAAAATGCTTTTTTTTTTCTAGTAAAGCAAATGATCCAGTGTCTGTCCAAATGCTTACCAAGAGAACTGCTAAAAATAGGCAATACTAATATAGTCATGAGTGTAGGAAAGAAGTGAGGGCATGTTAAGACTAATTGCCCTTATAAAAATACACACAGAATTGCAGTTTCAAGAGTTCCTTGAAGTTATTGTAGCTACAAGAATAATTTTCAGTGACAGAAGGTGCTACTGTGCACCTCCCAAAAGACACATGACCTTTTGAGTGTCAGTGCAATGTGTGCAATGTGTGAGTACAGGTATAACCCCTCTGAGTATGCAACTCCATGAAATCTTGTATGCTATTTTGTCAAGCAAAGTAAAGGACAGGAATATTTAAATACAAAAAAGAAGAGAATATATCTAGGGTTTAGAAGGAATGAAGTCTTTCTGGGTCTATCCAAGATCTGAATCTAGTTAAAAAGAGATACCTGAATCTAGTTTAAAAAAAATGCAATAACCTACAAAGGGAATGGCATTATCTTTTGGCTCTTCAGGTTTTTACTTCATTTGCAACTTGGCCATAAACTGCTGCCTACTGTGTCACTCATTTAATCTTTCTCTTTTGCTTCTGTTTTCCACAGAAGTGGAGTATCTGCTCTTCAAACTAGGGCTTCTTCTGCTGCCCACAGGTATGTATGTAGCAACACTTGAGATATACTTTGGTATCCCATTCATTCTGCAGCTGCTGCTCCAGAATCTCCTACAAGTGCTGTGCCATCTCTGCCATCTCTGTGCAGATATTTTGACTACCTTAAGGCAGTTTAGGAAGTTTAGAAATAGGAACAGGTGGATCCAAGTTGCTCTGTGTTGTGCTCTGTACGACTTATCTAACAAAAGGGCTTAACAACCTCCAAAAGCCATTTCTTTGTCAGCCAAAAGCTAGAAGAATCTGCTAGAATCAAAAACTGCATGCTTTAATATACAGCTGCACTTAAAAACTAACTTCAAGTGAGTGCTGATGCTAACTGGTAAAGTATTTAGACTCTCTTAGTTTTTTTCAGAAAATCTAGATATGAAAGTAAGTAGCATTAAAAAAAAAAAAGGCTAAAAATACGTACTTTAAAGAAACAAGCAAATAAAGAAAGAAATTACCTGGCAAGGCTTTTTCATTTTAATTGCTATAACATGGTATCTGTAACAGCAGAGTTCACAGGTCCATGACCCTCTTTCACTTATCCACTTTAACAGGCAAAGCTGATGTGTGTACCGTACCGACCCATCACAGCGGCAAGGATTTAACAATTCACCCTGCAAAGACAACACAGCAATGTTAACTTTTAAAGAAATGTTAAAATTATATGAGAGCCTGATGCCAAAATATTTACAAGTCTGTAACCATGAGACAGTCTCAATGTCAATCCACAAAATAATGAACACGCACTTTTTGTTGCAATGATATTCAGTCATTTAACTATTTAAAAAACATGTAACTTCTGGTCACCACACCAAACCAGATGCCCATCGCTGTGGGTCTCCGTGTGCATGTGGAACAGGTGAAGGACTACTGAGGGTCAAAAAGCAAGATGTTAGGTCTTTCACACACCCCAAGCAAACTGTTGGCAGCATTTTCCCCACAGTTATTCGTCACCAGTGCTAAGGAGGGAGTGGGTGACATCACAGGGAACCGTATCCTCTGAAGAGGATTTGGTGTTGGTCAGAGTTGGGTTAAAATAACACAACTAAACACATCCACTGATGCTGGGCTTCTGTGTGGCATCAATCAGCTATTCTCTTCTCCCTTGACAGGTTTGTTTTAGCTGGGTGAAACGATAACGTATAAAATGCTAGTTATGGATCCACTGCTAGCACTGAGTCCAGTGGACTCAGTGGGGGCGTGGGAGGGCACACACCTGGATGCGTTTGTAAACTCACACCTTCCTTTGAAAGGGCAGGGGAAGCCTGAGAGTTGCCTAAAGCTTCTGCGGGCAGAGAGGGCGAGCGGGGGGGCAGGCGGATGCGACCCCCCATGCGGCAGAGGCTCCGCGCGCCCGGGCAGCGAGCGGCCTCCGGGCAAGGGCGGCGGGAGCGAGAGCGGCGGCGCGGAGCCCTGTCCCTGGTGCTGACCGCTGCCCCCGCCGCCGCGGGGAGGAGACGCGGCCGCCTCCGCCTCACCTGCTCGCGGCCCTGGAAGCAGATTTTGCAGATGGGGCCGGCGCCGCCGGGGTTGCTGCCGCTGCCGCTCTCGCTGCTGCACACGGAGCGCGTCTCGGGCTGCCCGCCGGCCGCCGCCTCGGCCGCCGCGC